TCTTCCAATGAAATAAATAAAAACCGAGGGGGCCGACACTATCTACGATCCAGGAAAGGTTACGTTTTGCTGTGGCTAGCTGCGCGCACGCTGAGTAGATAGAAAGAAGATTGATGAAGATTCTGAAGATTTCCTGCAAAAAGATGATGCGCGATGCAATTAGATGCGAGAAACGAAAGAAGATTTTCCGAAGATTGATTTACTAGTGTGAGCATCTAGAACTGAGATTTAGATGTGTCGCCCCCTCGATAAAAACAGTTGTTGATGATATTTTATGCAGTTGGTTTTGCGAATTTGCTGAAAACAAGCTTACCGAAGGCTTGCCCCTGTGAGGTTCATTTTTAAGAAGCTGATTTTTGACCCAATTAAGAGAATATTTACCTATGATTTGTTATTAATGTTTCAATTAATCAATTGATGCCTAAATGCAGGGAAATTCAAAATCCTTATTTTATTATGTCTAATTATTATAAATAATTTCGATTTTCGACACATCAGCTCAAAATGATTTTTTGCAATTTTTGTGAGCTTCATTTGGGGCAGAACTTTCTACTAGGATACACAGAAACTAGCTCGGAAAACGCCTAAATGTATGTATCTCCTATGTGTTCATCGCTGATCAACCAATGATTTTTTATGATTTTTGAGAACTTCTAGCGATTGGATCTGCTTAAAACTTTTCAGAAATGAAGTTTAATCATTATTTAGACTCTCTAGGGGTAAGACAGCTTTTGATTTTTGAGTAAATTTTGAGTAAATCGGAGTAACTCGTGCTGCTCAATGTTCAATACACGCAGCAAATCAGCAACCTGATTTTTGTGGCCATGCTTAAAGTGTCTTGCAAACGAATAACAAACTGTTAGTACAAATGAATAGTCAAAATTCATCATTCAAATTAATAAAAAATAGCTTTAGTTATCAATTTTAATGAAACGAAAATCTGTGTATTATAAACGATCTTGATGCAAAGGAACAGTTGATGGGTGAAATGCAATGAAATAATATTGATTACGTTAAGGTGGCATGGAAATAATTCTTCCAGCTCCTTGATCGATAACTAAAAGTCGGAAAAGAAATCAAAATTGCAATATGAAGAATACACAATGAAAGTCACTCAAAAGGAAAGACTGGCAATGCTTTTTGATTGACTACCGAGGATGCTCAATACTTCATCTATTAGTTTCAAAGTATATCGGTGGTAGAAGAAGTTAATACCAGACACTTAAGCTTAATAAGCAATTCATCTATTTTATGGGCTGGTCATTCAGCTCAGAACTTCAATCTAATAGATCTTACTTGTATTCACTTTAATATTAATATTAAAATAAAGGCATTAGTAGATTGGTTTGTATGGTTAATTTATTACATCAAAAGGTCTTGTAAATACTGAATCATCTAATTTAGCGTGAAACTCTTTCTTTTTTAAAATTGGTAAACCCATGTGATTCATTCCATCAATACGGATTTTCCAGTGGGGAATCAATAATAACGGGATATATTAAAATAGGATCCTATTATGTAAGTCGAGTCGAGCTTGACTTCTGGTCACTGGTCTATTTTAGTATCACAGAATTAATACCAAATTAGAGTAGTAACCACAATGATCGTCACGACTTATTTAATAGTACCGATAATTGAAATTGTCCGTTAATATTAGAACATTCGCTTCACCTAATTAATTTGATTTCGAATATCCTTTCATCTACAATCACTAATTACACAGCGGAAGATTATAACGAGCTAAGGTTACATTTTTTTTCGGGTAAAGAACTGCTTCGGCCTAATCGCCCATTTTGGTCCTATCGAGCAGAAAACTTCAAATAAATCCATGATTTCAGAGTTAACAAGTCAATTATGCATACGACACTTTAGTTAAAAAGCTACTGAACGAAGTCAATAAAAACGCGTGATATGAATGTTTGCATCCTTTATTCTCAAAAACAATAGAGGCGCTCTGACCGAATCAATTTTTATCTTCATCCAATAAGCCGAAGTGAATTCAATCAACCGGTGGAAACTAACGATTTTAAATTGGCTCACTACTTGACTAGCCTATTAGTTCCAAGCAAATCGATTAACTTACCCCATTCCAGTCGAAATTCTAGTACTACACTATTTATGTTTTGATTCGCTATGAAAGTTTGACAGATAAAATAAGGGGTTCGTGGATTTACCTATGTTTCGAGGGGTGCATCGATTAACTTGGGATCAAAGATAGTACTAGTCTTAGAGTTACCTCTATGATTCAATTGCATTTCAATGGCGTTTCAATGCGTTAGACCGAGTTAAGAATCCGTAGGCTGGGTTTGGGGTCAAGAAGCAGTGTTAGATTTTTAACAATATGTCAACAATTTGATTCTCTTTATCAAATCTTACGGTACGCACGGAAAGGTAAATAAATTTCAAAGTCATCTGCAGTGAAAACATTCCATTTTGTGAAAAAAAAAATTCACTCAAAAAATAGAGGCAAAAGTCGGGTTGTGTTTAGTAGGTCCAAAATTAGATCTGAGCCCTGCTACATACACGTAGGTATTAAGTCATGGTTCACCCAATTAATAATTTAAGTTACAGAACGGCTTGGGCGGAGAAAAAAAGGCTTTGTGCAGTTTATTTTTGCATTTATAAGCTGTTCTGAAGCTTAAATGTTTCGTTGTATAGTTATAAAATTTATAATTTGTATAGTAATTTATCGCTGACAGATCACAACTTGTCGCTACTTTAAAAAAAATTTTTTTTAAGATCTTGGCGATTATTTTTAGACTTCTAAGATCAGCTTTGAATAATATTGAGTAACTATATTTTACTCGGTGCAAATATATTTACTCCGAGCACAGCTGGCTTGCCCCTAGGACTAATTTTTTGGTTATTTTGGTGTCACAATAATTGTTGACATGCTAAATAATGTTTCGACAATTACCAATCCCATTACCATTACCATTACCAAACCATTACCCATTACATTTTTGTGTGGCGTCCTTATATTTATTTCCGAAGGAGAAAATCACATTTCCATTTATTTCTCCTACGTACATGATGCAATTGGTTCTTTCTTAGGCTCATATTGTAGAATCATAATGTGGCTTCCAAACGCGCATGATTTAGAATTCCTATGATTCTTAAAATTGGCAGGAGCCACGCTTTTTAAAGTGTCTTTATTGAAAATGTGTTTATTTTAATTTTTTTTGGGGGTGTCACTCTTGCCCCACCTGACCCTATTTTTTTCACAAATAATGTTCAATATTGGAGAAAAAAGGAGTGCTCAAGAGTCGTTGGGACCTCCCTTTGCTCAGTCGGTAAAGGCGCAGCTACAAAGCAAGACCATGCTGGAGGTGGCTGGGTTCGATTGGGTTGGAAAATTTCTCGACTTCCCTGGGCATAGAAGTATGATTGGACTTGTTACACAATTCTTGATAGAGCTGGAATATGGCTAGCCAACGCAAATGTACATCACCATCGGGTAGAGGAAGACTTCCCCTACCCGATGGTAATGTTGGTTTGCGTGGGCGTGCCTTGAATTCCTATAAATCATCGAGAGAAGTCATTGTTTACAAAAGCTGTTATGCCCTAATTCCAGCTCTATCTAGAATTATACTAATGCAGAAATGGTACAGGCATCGAAGGCCCTCAATTAATAACTGTGGAAGTGCAATTAGAAAACTAAGTTGAGAGCACGCAATAAGCTAATACGCGCTAAGCAATAAGCTTGAAACTCAGAGAACAGACATGGAGGCTCGAACAAAAATTCTCTAAAAACTTGTGTAAAGATTCCTATTCGACTTAAGCGCCACTAACGGCGACTTCCCCACTTAAAAACACTCTTTGACAACATGATGGCGCTGGCGTTGCACAAATTACACTAGACACTAAGTGCTAGTAGCGCCAAGTGGCAATTTCCAACAGAAAATCTATTGATACTAGCGCCAAATTGGTCGAAAGTGGAAAACTTATAGAGAAAATCAGGAGATGCTAACACCACGTAACGGCGACGTTCCCACTTATTTTACACAAGTTTTTGACCGAACTTGAACGTCTGTTCTCTGTGCTTGAAATGCGAAGAACAAGATCAACTCAAGAGCAGTTGCTTCAAGTCACCGAAAAATGAGCGGTAGTTTTGCAAGCGATTAAAAATATAATTTCATTATAATTGATTCGCGTTTTAGTTGTATTCCACTATTCCTCTTTTTAGTGATGCATAAACATTTTAAAAATGTCCAAGACAATTGTTGATAAACATTATGTTTCAATAGTGTGTTGTTTTTTGCGAGGGAGGCGACTCCATCGAAAATGCAAGAATTATTTTGTTTTTCTGATATTAGATGCACTCGCGATGAGTAGATGGTAAAATGATTGATGAAGATTCTATAGATTTCCTGCAAAAAGATGGAACGCGATGCGAGAAGATTGATTTAGATGCGTGAAATAAAAAAAAAAAGGTTTTTCGTATATTGATTCGCTGGCGTGAGATTTTCGGGCATCGATATTTAGATGCACCGTCCGCCTAGGTTTTTGTGCGTGCACTCAGTGCACCAGCGTGACTGCTAGAAGGTTAAACAAGCGTTCTATTTATAGACCTATAAAAGACATCGTTTTGTATAACAAACTTTACCTTGATAGTGTCTCCGTAGTCTCAAACAGGGTTACTTAGACCGAACGTTACGGTTCATATATTTATTTTTCACTGAAGATGCTTTAGTTAAACTGTTATTTTCAAGGTACAATCAAGTGAATAGTAAGCGAGATGTCGAATGCTTTGTTAATAATCTGATCGCTTTATTCGTTATAGTCTTTCCACTTCTATTTCACTCAAAAATAATCCCGGTACGAGGGCACCTTTCCAAACTGATGGACAGTTTCCTATCCTGCCAAGAAGTTTTCACCAGGCAGTACTCAATAACAGTAGCCATGCTTGTACAAAGCTCTGATGAATTCTTCATCGACAGTTTTTACCAAACCAATATTAACTTCTTCCTTTCTCTCGAAAACAAAAACCCAACCACCAGGCGTGATGTATCGCAGAAGACGTTCCAACGACGACGTCGCCTCCCGCAACACCAACCCTGAAATTGAGAACGATGATGATGACGAAGATGAAGATGAGAACTACCAAAGCCGTCACTACTACCAGCCACAGCAACACTGGCAGCAGCAGCAGCAACAACAACAACAACGAGAGCAGCAGTCGGCTCTGGACCAACAACAACAACAACAACAAGAGCAACCGTTCTACGACATCAGTGGAACCTACGGGCAGCAGCAATACCACCCCAACCAATACGACACGCGAGCATTCGTCCATTCGGAAGCGTATACAGAACAACTTACCGAACCTCTTCTGCAACCATCAACCAGTAAACGCAGCTCCGCGCACCGACCTGTAAGTAACACCTCCCCATCAGGATCAGGTAACTCTAGCACCTCCACCAGCTCTTCCTCTTCGACCAGAAGGCAACAGCGGAGGAAAGGCCCCCCCGGGGCAGCATCAGCAGCAATCGACGACAAACATGTGATACTCGATGACGAATCAGTAGTAAGTGCTGCGGCTGCCACCGCCGCCGCCGAAGCGAGCATCGACTAACGTAGTGTATGACTACAGCAAACTAGCCGTATTTTTAGTAGACGCCATAGGCAGGGGTTTTGAGTGAACAGAGAACAGTGAAAACTTTTTTTGTACTAATCCGACTTGTTGACGCTGGTTCATCAACATTCTTTCGAAAATTTTCACATTTTGGAAAACAAAAGAAAAACGTAATCAATGACTAAATCGAGATCTCTGTTTTCTTTGAGATACAACAACAGTAGACCTGGTGCATGAGAGCGTGTGCGATATCAAGTAGCAGAAGAGAAGATAGAAACCAACCTTATATTTGATAGGAGCGAATGGAGCATACGAGCGGAAACAGGAAGAAGAAACGTTCATATGTATAACTATATATTAACATCTAGGGACGGTAAATATTTTGTACCAAATAAACAATCATCTAAAATTAAAAACAAAACTAGCAGTTTAAGGAGTTGAGGAAACAGCGGATGAAAGAGCGGAAAAGGGAAAATATTCTTATGAGTAAATTTCGAACAGCGAACTGTTACACGTTGATGAAGGTAGGTCGAAAATGTAAAGGAATAGGGAAATTCCGGCTCGTTCTGATAGACGATCGGTAGTTGATATGTTTTGGATAGGGAAATTTAATAGGGAACGTTATCGCAGCAATGGGGGGGCAAGCGAGCAGCAGAAGCGGTTATAAATTTAAACTGAACCATTATACTGTAAATGTCTATAGGGAATAATCAAATTGAAGAAAAGGCTAGTTTATAGTTTTGTAAGAAGATATATGGCACCCAAAAACACAACACACATTAGTACACACACACACACACACACACACGCTCTATAACCGATACCTAAATGTTACTGCGAGGTTCCTCCTGGTACTCGTTGGGGCGGAGTGAGTGCTTCTGAATTGGAGTCGCTTAAGCGGGGACGTGTCCAACCGCGGAGAAGAAAAGTTTGGTGTAGGGTGTAATGAAAGTGCTAGTTGATTGCCTTATTCTTCCGTTCCTGTTTGCGTTAATCGGTGGTTATCGTTTGATTGGAGTGGCAGTATTTTGTTGACAGATTGAATGGGTTGAAGACTTGGTACTTGTTTTGGCAAATTTGATAAGTGTATGGCAACGGGGGGGCAATCTTTTGGGTATCCAGAGCCCAGAGGTGCTATGTGACCTAACTGTGATGAAAATGTAATGAGCCTGCACTGGAAAAATACGTTGAAATAAGAAATGATATAATAGATGGTGAGAGTGTAAAAAGTGCATTACCACGCTTTGTCGTATCTCAGAAACAAAACATCGAGGATGACTCAGTAATTTCATTCAGGTGGTCTGAACGTCACAAAGTATGAGACAAATTTCTACTACATTGTCTCGAAAGTAGATTAAACTGTGGTTAGTGGTACGCCTCCCCCTGGAAAAGAAATAAAAACCCGTAAAGGAGAGGTTTATCGGATGCTTTGCACTTTTCCCACAGGTAAAGAAAGCTCTCAATTAACAACTGTGGAAGTGCTAAAAGAACACTAAGTTGAGAGCCGGCGTAAAGTCTCAGTAGGGACGTAATCAAGCCTCCGGTTGTAGGTAACATATGTTCATCGGCTCATCGCTTATCAACCAGTTCATTGATGCAGTGATGAAAGTATTGCCGGTGTATGAATAAGACGGACATATTGAACAGGTGGGGTACCATGAGCATCCCGCACTTCAGTTCCAAACCTTTAATGGTTCGAAACAAATTAATTGGCAGTCGGTTCAATATCACCATTGCAATGATTAATGACAAATGTATGTGTTTCGAACCATAAGAAATCCAAGGCAAGGAAGCTCACTATGCTCTTCTTCTCCTACATCCTATAATATCGTCATATTTTCAGGTGAAAGTCTGGCTCACCAGGCTCAGTGCTGAGAGTACCAGCATAGTTTTTATGACTCAGCCTTTTCAGAGTCATGGGGACTCGAGCTCTTCTTGCTTAGGGACCATCCATAAATGACGTAGCATTTTAGGGGGGGGGGTTCATAAGTTGTGACCGGCCATGTATTAGATATAGTCAAATCCACTACGCTACGTCATTCATGGATGTTTCTTTAAAGCTTATGGCGGAAGTCAACTGAGAAAGAGCAAAACCATTTTAAACTTGAGAAAAACATCCTGAGGGGCGGCAAAATTGCTCCAATGTTCCTTGAATTGTCCTTTTTCTTTACTTTTGAGCAGTTCCACGGCAAATGACGAATCGGTCTGATGTGAACATTTTCTTTTTTTTTTTTTGTTAATTACTTTATTTGTACAGGCTCATACGAATAAACTTTACAGAGCCAAGTTATCATTTTCTTTATACATTATAAATGTCTTAAATCTAAAATTAAAGGATTGGAACCGATTACTCGCGGTCTTCTCGAGGTTAGTGGATGACAATTGTTTGGATCGGGAGAGGGAAAAGGAGATTTTTTAATATGATTTATGATTAAAAAATTTCACTATTTCTAAAACAAATACTTAATCCTAAGTGAACATTTTCGATTTTCATGAAACTTTGCATAATTGTTTGCTATGGTCAATCCTTGACATTTGAGCTAAAAGTCGGCCATTTTGAATCTCGAAAAAAAAAAATCAAAATGGTTATTCGTGATTTTCCAACAAATCCTAACTCGAAAACGTCACTTCCAGTCAAAATGACGTGCCAGACAAAGTTGTAATAAAAATTAATTCATTTTCAGAAAAAAATCACGTCGAAAAAATTGTAGTAGTTTTGAGTAAAAAATTAAAAAAAAATTGTTTAAAAGTTAAATAACAAATCGTCAATATTTTTCATTTAAAAAAGTTACATTCTTAAAAAATGTCAAGATGGACACAAACAAACTAACTAAAATTATAGAACAACAACTTTAGGACCATTTTTTTTGTTGAACTTTTTGCCAAATTTTTGCATTTGGCTCACGAAATAGCTAGACTATCAATATTTCCTGAGCAAAAAATTACAAAAAAAAAATAAAATGTTAAACAAACAGCTAAACGGTTTGTCCTAAGGTTGTTGTTCTATGATTTTTAACTTAAAACTTTAATTAATAATTTTAATTTTTGTTATTTTTTAAATTTTAAATTTTCACAGAAGATATAACTTTTGATAAAAAGTTAATCAAAAGTTATATCTTCTGTGAAAATTTCAAATTTAAAATTTAAAAAAATACCAATTTTTCAAAAATATTGAAAAGGGTTAATTTTTGTTTTGAAGCTTTAAACACTTTTTTTTAACTCAAAATCACTTGAAATTTTTTAACGTGTATATTTTTTCTGAAAAGGATTTATTTTTTTCCAACAACTTTGTCTCAGACGCTCGAGACTTTTTTGAGCTATGATTGATCAAATGTGACCATCACAAACAATTATGCAAAATTTCATGCAAATCGGAGAAGGTCGAGTCAGAAATTCATTTTTTTTTGCTATTTGACCTTGAAATGCTCTTCTTGAAAAATTACTATAATTATTTTGTATATCTCAATTTAACCAATATCTCAGAACATTCATGACCTTTTTCAAACTTCAGGAAAAAGCTCGAATCTTCTGTACGAATTTGTCTTAACATGTGGGCGGAAAAAAAATTCCAAAACTTCCACTCAAATCCCAGATCAAATCCTGAAGTTCAAAATCTTCTGCACTTCTACCACCGACAAACCGACATGAATGACCATAGCAAATAAAATTTCTGACCAAAGCCCACTACTGACATCTGGCTCCGTGTTCGCGGGAAATATTTATCCAAGCCATGAACCCGCATGCAAAAGTTTTGAATTGGTTCGTGTCTGATCTATTCTGGACAAATTATTTTTATCTAGATCAAAAAATCTTATGGTTTTGACAGTTCGGATCACTGCACATTTAAATCGGCCGTTTACAATTTTCGGGCAAATCAGAATTAAGCGTCATGTCGGTTTGTCGGTGCTTCTACGAAGTTCACTGAGCTTCTTCAATTATGGCTAAACTTCTACGAAGTTCCTTGAACTTAGAGAAAAACACGTTTTACGATCATCTTTGAGATTTCCTTCTTGAAATGAATTCTAAAAATTTCTCAGCAAGGCCCAAACGCGGAAGCGGAACGGAAACGGCAAGTTTGACAGTTGTCACAACTGACATCAAGATGCCTGACCGAAGTCGATTTGGCTCTAACTAGTTTTCAATTCGATAAGTTGGCCCTCTCAGATCGCGGTTTTCCGCGGTTTTCCGCGATCTGTTATTGCGCTTGGGCCTTTATTCTATATTCTATTCGCCGCACTTCTACAATGTTCCTGGTAGCTCTTCAAAGTTTCATGAATTCCCACGGAATTTTCTAATCTATTTATAGTCCATTAAACGTCAACGAAGTGCCCTGAAGCTAAAAGAACTTTTATGAAGTTTGTTAAATTTAAACAAGGTTTCGCAAACTTCATCGAAAGTTCCCAAACTTGTACAAGTTTACCAATTCTACAAAGCTTTCCCAATTTTTTACAAAGCACCGTAAATTTCTTTAAAACTTTCTGAAGCTCTACGAAGTTCCCCGAATTTAAGTTAAATTTCCTAAATTTTTACGATGTCCCCTGAACAAAAGCCTTGAAGTTTTGAAAAGTCTAATGAAGATAAAGATAAATCCAAGGGGTGGTCACTCTACACACTTATTTTGCGCCAACATTTTTCTCAGTGTTCCTCAAGTGTGCCGCGCTTTGCCGAGAGTGCCATGTCATCGGACTGATTTTTTGTTGTGTTAATAATTCAAGGGAAACATGTCAGAAGGGTCTAACTCGAAACGTAAACAATGACTTGGATCGTCGGTTTCTTACGAATGACAATACACCCACTCAAACTAACCAAATCATCTGACAGAAAAATGTTTGTTCTATGAGCTGGTGTAGTCAGATTCCGTGGGTGTGTGAACATTCAAGAGAAATCGACGTTCAAAGTCATTGTTTACGTTCCGAGTTATACCCTTCTGACATGTTTCCCCTGAATTGTACGTTTGGAAACCCGGTATTTTGACAATTCAAATGTTTTTTTTTGCATATAAACCGTACGAGCTGTCGAAGACAATGGTCACATCGACGCCAAATCAACAGGAATGGGTAGCCCATCAAGAGCACTCGGATCGGCCCAGTTCCGTCTTCCGTGTGTCGCTGGTGAGGAACAATTGGAATGCACTCATTGAACATTCTGCACCGGGACATCAAAACTGAGGACGTTATCATCGATCACCATTTCCATATCAAGCTGATTGACTTCGGATCGGTGACGTTCGTACAGGAAGGGCAACTTTTTCCTACCTTCTACGGCACGATCGAGTACTGCAGTCCGGAAGTGTTGGTAGGCAACCGCTACTCCTGCCCTGAACTGGAAATGTGGGCTCTTGTTCTTCGAAAACCCATTCGTGGACGTTGAGGAAATCCGTTGACAAGAATCCCAAAACTCGGATCACCATCCAGGAGAGCTACTGGGGGTGGAATGGATGACGCAGGAAATCAATTCGGCACAGTTCAATTTTCCCAAAATCGTCCCCTGCTAACCGTACGAAATCAATCCGTAGAATTGCTACGTAGATGCAAATATTTACTCCAGCCAGACGGGACTGTCCACGTCGCCGCACAGCCTTTCGATATTGGATGATGTCGATGGTGAAGATGAGGATGAGCATGTCCAATGGCGAATAAGTCAGTAAATTTATTTAAAAAAAAAATGATTTACTGCTATTTAATTAATATATTTTAGGATTCATTTTTAACAGCCGGCGCCGGTGGTGTAGTGGTAAGCGTGACTGCTTTCTAACCCCAATGGGTCTGGGTTCAATCCCAGCCGAGGTCGGTGGGATTTTTCTGAGGTATAAAAATCTCTGGTCACGTCTTCCTTCGGAAGGGAAGTAAGCCGTTGGTCCCGGTCCATGTATGTTGTGAATGGGTGCGATATCCTACGCAGGTGTGGAGGCTGCCTTCCTGCAACTTCTTCCCCCGCCCGCAAATTTTAAAAGTAGCGACGAAGACATCTAGGTAGAGCTGGAATTAGGGCGTAACAGCCTTTGTAAACAATGACTTCTCCCGGTGATTTTTAGGAATTCATTGCACCCCTACACAAACCAACATATTCATCGGGTAGGGGAAGTCCGATTTGCAAGTGAGAGCCATGGCTTTCGAGAAATCACCGAGAGAAGTCATTGTTTACAAAAGCTGTTACACCCTAATTCCAGCTCTATCTAGACATGTGAAAACATCTCGTCGATCTTGTAGAAGATTTTTTTGTAAATACACCTGGGTTGATTAACTCCCACTTCATGTCAGTTATAATAGTGAGCGTTTCTTGCGATAGCTCTGTCTCTTTAACGTTAGCCTTTTGGAGTGTGATGAGGGCATCGTAAAAGGGAAAGAGCCAGTGGAGGGGTGCAGAACTAAGAGTTCGCCACGTAAGAAAAATCCTGAGTATGGCTCTGATGATAGTCTGAACAAACTTTGAAGGCTGAATTTTTAATTATGCAGTCAAAAATGAGCTAATTCAGCTTTTATCAGCCAAAAATTATTACTAGGGTGCCCAACGACGAAGGCAACAAATCAAGAATTCAA